ATGAATGAGAATATAGGGAGTGACTGATGGTCTGAGTATTACTGTGTTTAAAGAGTATAGTCTGAAGTGCTGCACTGTGAGGGGAAATAACTCTGAGAGTCTGTGCATTTAGAAAGACATAGTTTCATACAGCTACAGTTTGTCCATTGTAGAGAACTGACAAATGTATTTTTACGCTATAAAATGTCCTGCTTAGTGCCCATATTGGTCACAATACATATTTTTAAAAGTCTGTATATGCAGTGTGTATACATATTTAAAAAATGAGCACTGCTAGTATCAGATTTTTAACTGTCCAATATTGATTGGGCTAATACTGATGGCATCAAAAATCCAATTATTATTGTTAATATCATCTAATGTATATTGCTTAATTTCATATTTGATTTATGTTATATTATGTCCCTTATTTTAACTTGCACTATTTTATGTTTAGATTGTCACTTTGCTTTTACTAACTTGCGTTAACTTCTTGGTCCTCTTCTCTTTTTTTTTTAACACATATCTCATTTGAATTGTTGTAGGAAGCCTGAGACTTCAGACTTTCATTGCCAACGACTACTTTTTCTGTAAATGTGCATATGATAAATAAAAAAAAAACTTGAACAAAATCCAAATAATCCGCGTACATAGAAGTTACAAAATATCACAATAAGGAAGCAAAAATATTAAGATCCTTAGTTCTATATAAATAAAAGTACATATTGCTGTACTACACTTAAAATACGTAAAAGAAATAACCATTGTACCTTCGTGTGATAATTTCAGTCAGGCATTATTTATAGCCACGCCCGGCCGGGGTCCTCAGACTAGACATTGCCGCGGTGCATGCTGGGTCCTTCCTTTCCATCCCAGGCTCGCCTCAGCAATCATGGGTATGCCGCAAAAATGATCTTAAATACTAAATTATTCTCTTCACTGCTGTGATTTTTCTTATCGATGTTGTTTATGAATATCTTACAAACAGTTATCGACGTGTTTATGGTGGTAAAAATCCCTCGGTCTTGTAACAAACTGACCGTTTTGACGGTTCTCTTTTCCCGCAACGTGGAGCGGCCATAACACATCTATTCGGCGTGTTAGCATCGTTAGCTTAGCACGGAATACGTCCCCTTTACCCCTTTAACTGTTGCAATTCATATTTTGGCATTTACTTGCTGTGTGATGAAATAATTAATCTCCTGATGTTTAATATTAAATGATATGAGATTGTGAGTGTTTAAGGCCAGTTAACTTCATGCTACCGCCGCTCGCAGCTAATAAGGTTAAGCTTCGTCAACTTGTGGTACTACAGTTGTTATAATTTTGGAGAAATGCGGTCATAAAACGCCAGAAGGATACATTTGTCAAATGCTGATGATCGGTGAAGTCAAATGCTGTAAAGCGCAGTGTTGGAGACTTGTATTCATACTCACGGCGTACTAACCTGGAGTTTTTTTAAACTATTTGTAGGTTTTCAGCTGCTGTTGGTTATTTGTGATGGGTGTGAAATCGTGTTAAGTTATTTGTTTGTGGTGGATTTTGTCAGTAGGCAGTGATGCTGCTTGTGTTGCTGTGGTCCCAGTATTGCCTTAGTTAAACATTAACATCTAATCTCGAATTGAAGCATGTTTTTTTTTGTGCATTCCTGATCTTTGGAAAACCAGGTTCATTGTGTATCAAAGCACTTTGACTGATCAGTGAGAAAATAAGTCTTAGAGAAGGAACAGTGTCCAATTTCAACTCAAGTGTCTTAATTGTACAACCGGTTAAGGTGTGGGAACAGCCAACTGACTTACCTGGGCCTTTAGAGGCCCTAGAGTTAGAAATCGTGTCATTTTCTCATCTATTTGCATAAGAAATTGGAATACTGTAGGCAGTAGATCAGTAATTTAATTACTGAAATGGATGTCAGTCTAGTACTTGGTGCTGCTTTTGTTGCTGTACCAGGTCACTCAACTTAACAAAATCAGTAGAGAAGCTGTTCTTCATAGCAAAGTGATGGTGATGGTAATTTGATTTATAAGAAGATAGGTGTTGACTTTTACATCAGTCTGAGAATACCTACAAGAAACTATGATTCTTACATTATTTCCTGCCTGTATTTGCCTTTCAGGAAAGTGTCGTGGTCTGCGCACAGCCAGGAAGCTCCGTAATCACCGCCGTGAGCAGAAATGGCACGATAAACAGTACAAGAAGGCCCACCTGGGCACTGCCCTGAAGGCTAACCCCTTCGGAGGAGCCTCCCACGCCAAGGGCATCGTCCTTGAGAAAGTGTGAGTACCACAAGACCCTGCTGGACAGTAGACACACAAAGGTGGCATGATGGATAATCGCAAAACATTGTTCCTGATACAAAAGCAGACTGCATCATATTTAGGTTTCTTAGTCCCTTTTCTGTCAGTTAAGTTTGATTCAAACGCTCATGTTGGATGTTTCAAACTCCAGTTACCTGAAGGATGCTGGCAACGTTGCTCTCTGTCATACCTACTGGAAAGTTTGAAGTCATTTTGACGTGTTATTTCTGATATGTAATGCATTGTGTTTTGCTCAGTCATAACGCTCTTGACATTTCCTTCCAAATAATTTCAATAGTTTACATGTTTGATGTTGAAATGTGTTTTTTGTTTTCCATCTGCAGTGGTGTTGAGGCTAAGCAGCCCAACTCTGCCATCAGGAAGTGTGTGAGAGTACAGCTCATCAAGAACGGCAAGAAGATCACCGCCTTCGTCCCCAACGACGGTTGCCTCAACTTCATCGAGGTAAGCGCCTACCCTGTATACATCCTTGAATAAATGCCACACAAGCAGTTGTGATGCAGCTGGTGAGGTGTGGTTTATGTGCAGAAACATGAGGTTAAAGTAAATCGAACCGAATGTAAACCAATTGTTTTCCCTGCTTCAAAGCAGCCACAGATAATAGTTTGGACTTTCTTGGAGCTTTCATAAATATGTTTTGATGCAGCTCAGTGTGTGTAATGTGTATGCAGTTCCTAAAATGCCTTGATGCTACAGATAATTTAATTTGGTGTTAAGTGTTTTCCAAACTTCATAGATGCTGAAGATAGATTTTACCTGACCAACTTCTTCCTTTGGTCCTACAGGAGAACGATGAGGTTCTGGTGGCAGGATTTGGACGTAAAGGTCACGCCGTCGGTGACATTCCTGGAGTTCGTTTTAAGGTGGTCAAAGTGGCCAATGTGTCCCTGCTGGCTCTCTACAAAGGCAAGAAGGAGAGACCCAGGTCATAAACAGTTGATGCAGAAAGTAAAATAAACCCGTTTTCAAATACAGTCTGGTTGTTTTATGTCTTCATTTGTTTGTCACTCACATTTGTTACTTTGAGAGGGACTTCAAAATTATTAATTAGTCCAAGTCAGACAGATTATACTCGCTGGAAGTCAGCGACAGGAGGAGCCAACCAACCCTGCAATTAGTGCCACAGCTGCCCTTGTGGCCGTAGGTGTTTGTAGAATATCTCCATGTCAAAATCTGGTTTTAAGACCTTGATTTCATTGTACTGCAGATTAATATAAAATTGGCAATTTCATTTGTCATTTCTTTTCAAGCAAAAATGCCTTAAACTTACTGTGATTCCACCTCCACTGCGTTGACAAGACATTTGTTAACACTGGCTAGGACTCGGCGTTAGGGAATTGATTGTAGTCCAGTCAAATTTATCTATAGAGCACATTTTAAAACAACAAAAGTTGACCAAAGTGCTTCTCACAAAAACAAACAAAAAATCCCAGGAAGGAACAAATAAAAACTCATAAATAGGAGAATGTAAGAAAATTAATAAGAGTATATGATATTTTGACATCACAAAAAGCACTGCACAAACAACAAAATGAACCACTGAACAAGCAGCGTGGTCGGATATGTCATCCTAATAATTAAAAGGTTAAAGAAAAGAGATGGGTCTTAAGGGGGTTTTAAACATGTTAATAGAAGGAGAAGATCCAACTAGCGGTGTCACCTTTAGATTTTAACTGGGTATATGGAATGGAGAGCAGTGATTGGTCACCAGATCTGAGGGGTCGGGAGGTTGAATAGGGTATGAGCAGTTCAGACATGTGAGCAGGTGCGTGTCCATGTAGCGCTTAACAGACAAATAAGTGAATTTTAATATCAATTCTATGATTACTGGTAACCAGTGAAGAGGCCAGCACTGGGGTGATATGGTCTCTCTCTCTAGTACCAGTGAGGGGTCCTGCTGCAGCACTTTTAGCAAGCTGCAGGCGGGACGGGGCTGACTGACTGACTCCTACATAGAGGGAATTGCTGTAGTGAAGAGTGGAAATAAAACTTTTACTATGTTTTTGGCTGAAATGATTACTGAAAACACTGGAAAACAGAAGCTAGATTGACTAAAAATAATAAAAGGTTGCTGCCCTACTGCTGTGTGTTCTGTGTTTTAAATTAGATATAATAATAAAAAAATGTCCCACCTGTTCACAGGTCAACAACCCAAAAAATAAAATGCACCAAGCATTATTACTTAGTTAGCCACATAACTAATAAAATAGCATGCAAGCTCTCTGAACGCTTGATAACAACTAATATAGTGTCATTAATAATAGTATAATAATATGACTTATTGTGGTCAAATGGTTTCAATTACAGTAGAAAACAAATGCCATAGAAATGATCTGAACTAGCTATCAATTCATTTAACTACTTGAGTCACTATATTAAAATGAATGTAGTTTAAATACCAGCAACATACTGTGAAAGGTAATTTAACACTACATGTAGCTCACTACTTCCAACACTACGTACACACACCATGCACAGTTTAATCCAGCCATTGTCTGTCCTGCAGCGTCAGACTGACTGACTGCCGATCAGTTCCCTGCATTAACATAGATGGAGGGTAAATAAAGTAAATTTAGCCAGAGGAGGTAAATATAGTAACAGGTATCAGATCTCCTGCCCCCCCTCAGCCAGACTGCTGTAGCTTAACAGCTGAATCATGCAGATCTGGGGCTCACATGAAGCTCCACTTTTCCCCTTGTGGAATTGTTACAGTTGAACAATGCTATTAAAAGACAGATGTGTTAATGTGTGTGAACGACACATTTATTTGCAGACAGGCAGCTCTCTGCTATTTAAAGACTGACAGAACCCATGTAGACATACAGCTCTGGTTTCAGTCACAGGTCAGAGACCTCTTTTCCTCCTGCCCTCTTCAGCAACAACAACAGACCCTCCTTTAATCTGCAGGGACGCCACAGACGAGTAGAGGGAACCACAACGACGACACAACACAAAACCACAAGGTAAAGAAACCCAGTGACGTCTGTCAGAATCCTCCAGAGAGTCTAGTCTGCTTTCAGAGACAAACAGTGGAAGTACTTGTACTTACCTAAGTATTTCTGGTACTTTTAACTCCACAACATTTATTTCATAACTTTAGTTACTCTGGAGATTGAAGCTTCAAGTTTATGAAGTAATGAAACTGAGCTCCACCTTGACCAGCTGCAACATTAAAGTGATGAACACATTAATGCATCAACAATAATAATAATCCAGTCATATTATATATATATGACTCTGAAATGGGCCATTCTGCATAATGAGTACTTTCACTTTTTTCACTATAAATATATTTTGTTGCTGATCCTTTTGGAATTTTGCTTGAGTAAAGTTTGGATGCAAGGCTTTTACTTGTTACAGAGTATTTCTAAATTATGGTATTGGTACTTTTAATGAAGTAGAAGATCAGAGTACTCCCACCATGTGTTTTTTTTATTTGTTGTCTTAAGTCATATCCACAAAGATACAGAGCAATTAGCTAATATGCTTATATGCTTATAACTTATCATGTAAACACGTATTATAATTTCACATAAAAATGTTAAGGGTTTTACAGTGTTTATAGTTTTAACACAACAAATGTATGCAAAGTCATATTGATGCATTTGTGCACATAAACATGTTATATTTGTGACTTTCCTCCTATTTGTTTGTGGATTTTTGTCCATTTCACACTGCAGCAGCATGTTTGTGGTCAGTTAGATATTTGTGAATCATGGTACACTAGGGATGCATGATATTGGAATTTTTTTGCAGACACCCGATATACTGCTATGTAACAACTCATTTGACCAATAACCGATACCAATATTAATATATCCACTTTTTTCCCAAGTAGTGAAATAAAATAGTTTTCCATATATGTAATACTCATTCGTTGAGCAAATTAAGAGAAAAGATGTTGGCCAATTCCATCCATCCATTTTCAACCCCTTATCTGAAGTCGGGCCGCGGGGACAGCAGGCCAAGCAAAGCACCCCAGACGTCCCTCTCCACAGCAACACTTTCCAGCTCCTCCTGGGGGACCCTGAGGTGTTCCCAGGCCAGATGAGATATGTAATCCCTCCAGTGTGTTCTGGGTCTGCCCCGGGGCCTCCTACCAGTGGGAGGCGCCCAGAACACCTCTAACAGGGGGCGTTCAGGAGGATCCTGATCAGATGCCAGAATCACTTCAACTGACCCCTTTCAATGCAAAGGAGCAGCGGCTCTACTCCGAGCTCCCTCTAGATGTCTGAGCTTCTTACCCTATCTCTAAGGCTGAGCCCAGACACCCTAAGGAGGAAACTCGTTTCGGCAGCTTGTATCTGCAATCTCATTCTTTTGGTCACTACCCAGAGCTCATGACCATAGGTGAGGGTTGGGACGTAGATGGACCAGTAAATCAAAAGCTTTGCCTTCTGGCTCAGCTCCCTCTTCACCACGACGGTCCAGTTCAGCGCCTGCAACATTGCAGACGCCGGGCCAAACCGCTGATCCATCTCACGCTCCATTCTACCCTCACTCATGAGCAAGAGATACCTGAACTTCCACGCTTGGGGTGGTAACTCACTCCCAACCTGGAGGGGGAAATCCACCGCATTCCAGCAGAGAACCATGGCTTCAGATTTGGAGGTGCTGACTCATCCAGACCGCTTCACACTAGGCTGCAAACCACCCCAATGCATGCTGGAGGTCACGGTCATGTTGGCCGATACCAGTGTCTTGCTGATATTATCGTGCATCCCTATGGTACACATTTGTGAATTGTCTTCTGTTATCTACAGCTATTAAAGTACAACAAAAACTTCCACAGATGGATGACAGTTATGAGTTAGAATGTCAACACACCTAAACAAGTGGCTTTTAAGATGCTTTATAAAGTTGTGCACTGATATTGACAAGATTTTACACCACCCTGTTCTAGAGCCAAGGAGCAACTTTAGACAGAAATGCTCGTCCAACTTTGTGGCAACAGTTTGTGTTTGTCCCTTTCCTGTTTCAACCTGACAGCACCCTCCGTGCACAGAGTCAGGTCCACAGAGAAATGTTTTTCCCAGTTTGGTGTGGAAGAACTTCACTGGCGTGCACTGAGCTCTGACCTCTCTGCTGAATGCGAGCAAATCCCTGCAGCCACGTTCAAATATGTGGTGGAAAACCTCCAACTAGCAGAGTGGAGAGTGATATGACAGCAGATTAATGCTCATGGGTTTGGAATCACACTGTTTCACTGCTCCAGGGTCCACATACTGCAGTGTACACAGTGTACAAACACTGACCCGCTGATCTCATATAAGTTCATTGAAATACGCATTTTCAAACAGGGCCAGGACGTTTATGGGGACACCATGGAGTTTGTGCAGATTCGAACAGAGGATGAGGACGAGGATGATGATGCAGTGACTCAGTACATGATTGAACAAAGTCTGCTGGAGAGCAACAAACAGAAAGAAACCCACAGAGACTCCACGACACGAGACAACACGAGGTCAGTCTGACAGAAACAAAGGTCACAAATTATTCTCTCAGATGTTTGGTGCTGTTGGGAGAAGTTTGCCTTTGGGGAGAGATTTAAGGGTTAAGGTCAGGGGGAAAAGGACTTTCTGACTAAAAAAGAAAGACTGCCCGTCACAGATTTCCGGCACAGAGTTTTTGTTTTAAGTGCCGTGTCCTGCTATAGAATGAAGGAATAACCGACAGCTATGGCCAAATGTAAGTATGATGCTGAATATATTAAACTGTGTGGACCTTGAGCTAATGACTAAGGAGAAATCTGGACCTCATAGCTGGACCAGCTGGGAACCACTAAGCTAAAAGACCCAAGCTGGCAGATCTGAGATCGGTCTTAGAGGACAATAAGGATTTAAAAGTTCAAAATCTGGTGGAAAAAGTGAAGCTGTTCTTTAAGTAAATAATAATTCATATTCTATAAGAGGCCGTGAGGCTTAAATGTATAAGAAACTATTATGTTCAGAGTTGAAATAAGTTGCACTGGATCTAAAGTTTGTGTTTCATGAAGTTTTGTAGCTACATCTACCTTTTGTACTGAATTATCCCTGGCAGGTGAAGCTCACATGATGTTTCCTGATCAGTTTAACACAACTTTGTTTAGTTAGTGTGATCTTCCTCACCCACAGCTCCAAGCCTGAGGCTGCAGGCAGCAGCGCGATCTTCACTGCTATAAGACAAGGTGAGGGGGGAGGATACAAGGCTTGTAACAAGGTGAATGCTTTTGCTGATTTACGGTAAACAAATATAAATTAAACTAAAGATATTTATATTCAAAAATATCCTTAGAAAGTTTTCATGACAGATTTTACAGATTTAGTGAACTTTAAGGTGTCTTAATAGTTCACTTCTTTCTGACTGTCCCTTAAAGTCCAACTAAAATTACAGCACATATCTGCTCTGTAAATCACCTGTCCTGTGTTCTTATTGTGAAAATTTAGAAACCACACGGGAGAACAGTACATTTACACACGTGGACATTATGTTATACTCCAAAAACAGCCTAAATGTAATTCCAGTTGGACTTTAAAATCTAGTTTGTTTGTTTTTTTGTCAGTTATTAAATGTCTGACACTGGCCGCTCCTCGCATTAATATGAAAAGAGATGAAAGCTGATCTATTTACTGTTACTGTCCCTTCATCTCTGCAGGTAACGAGAAGCTCCTGAAGGACCTGAGCGTCCGACAGAAAGACAAGTTTTCACAGACAGACAGCCGAGGTTGGACTCCTCTCCACGAAGCAGCAGCTCAGAGTAACCACACTATCCTGGAGCTCACGTTCAAAGGTCTATATCTGCTTTTTAATAATTCAGCTTCACATTAACATAAAACCCTGTTTATGAAACAGACGTTAATTAAATCAAACAGTGAAGCATCCTGTTCTGCAGTTTCAGGCCGAGACTCCATGGAGAGTCGTACTCTGCGTGGTCAGACTCCTCTCTACGTGGCAGTGGAAGCAGGTATGGTGGAAAACGCCTCCTTCCTCCTCCAACACGGAGCCAAGCCGGACAGCGAGGACCAAGACCAGGACTCTCCGCTGCTTGTAGGTACGCTGACCAACGATTCACTGCCTCAAAGCCTGTTAAGATCTTTTGTTTGTCTGTCACAGTGTGGTCTGAAATCTAAACATATGTCTTGAGCAGATCAAGGTGCATTTTTATTGATTGGCATCTGTCCATCTATACCAACTTTGTAAAGTTACTGTGACAGGAGGAAGTTACAGGCTTTTGTGGCCAATTTGGTGAATTCAGGAAGAGATTAAAGATTGAAACTCTTGACCTTGGAGACAAAACAAACTAATCTCACCACACGTAAGGTGCATTTACATGACCCTTAATATTCCCTATCATTCTACAGCAATCCGCTCAGAGCGCACTGACCTGATCAAGCTGCTGCTCCATCAGGGCTCCAGGGTGAACCAGCAGGGCTGCTACGGCCGCCGCCCCCTCCATGAGGCCGCACGGCTGGGTAAAGCAGAGCTGGTGACTCTGCTGCTGGATGCCGGAGCGCAGCCGGACCCTGCCAGCCACTACGGCCTCACGCCGCTCGCTCTGGCCGCTCAGGCAGGACATGTGGAGGTGGTGGAGACTCTGCTGAGGAGAGGTGAGAGAGCAAGGATGTCTTTTTAGTATTAGTCTCACTAGTCATATTTATGTTAACATTATCTCTTTAAAATCAGACATGATGCATTAAAATTTGAGCTGTTAAGTGATGGCAGTGGGATCTGGTGTTAGGGACTGTATGAAAATTATTAGGGTGTGGAGGGGATTGAAATATTCAACTTTTCAAAAAAGCCCTGCAGCATTGATATTTCCATGGGACCCTCCTGTCGATATTTTAAAATAATATTCTATACTCATATTGAGTCAATGCAATTGGTTTGGTTTTAGCAATGGGATCAAATAGGTATTTTCACAACGTACTGTCTCTTATTGAACTAAATCCCCTCCTGATGTTTGTCCTGCAGGAGCAGACGTCCTGTCCCAGGCGCAGGACGAAGCCTCCATCTTGTACGAGGCGTCTTTGACTGGAGATCCAGCTCTCATCAGTCTGTTGCTGGAATTTGGCGCTGACGCTAATGTGGCCAAACTCACAGGACATATGCCGATCCACCGCGTCGCACAAAGAGGGCATCTGCAGTAAATGTTAAACACTACATCATATCTCATGAGCTCAACATTTGTTTTGTTTTATTCTGCAAAGTCGTTAAAAACTACATCATCAGATAAGGTTTGTGTGTGTGTGTGTGTGTGTGTGTGTGTGTGTCCCTCCCTCAGAGCTCTGAAGCTGCTGATTCCTGTCACTTCTAAGGAAGAAGTAAACGACAGCGGGATGAGTCCTCTACACTCTGCTGCTGCAGGAGGACACACAGACTGTATCAAGGTGTGTGTGTGTGTCTGTGTGTTTTATCAGCCAAGATCAGTGTTGGAATGTAACTAAGTATATTTACTTAAGCACAGCAGCTTACATACTGTAAGTAGAAAGATTAGGTACTTGTACTCTATACAGAATGATCCATATTCTAAAATTGACCATTCTGCATAATCAGTACTTTTACTTTTGGTACTTCTTATATTTTGATGCTGATACTTAAGAAGTAGTAGTAGTGGAGCGTCGGTGGCTTAGTGGATAGAGCAGGCGCCCCATGTTCAAGGCTGTTGCCGCAGCAGCCTGGGTTCGACTCCAGCCTGTTTTGGAACCTGCAGATGTTTGTAATGTTTGATGACTAAAACTGAAAACCCTTGGCAGACAAATGATTATTAGCAGACTAATTGCAGTGTAATTTCTTGGCAAATGCTTGTTTCTGATTGACTAACAACTAAATGTCACTCCTCCCAAACTCCCATCAGACCTTGCTGGATGCAGGTTATGACCCAAACTACATGCTCCTTTCCTGGGTTCGCCGTAACTATGACGACGAGAGGAAGTCAGCGCTCTTCTTTGCTGTCTTGAATAACGATGTGCCGTCAGCCAAACTGCTGCTGGAGGCCGGGGCGATGCCCAACCAAGACCCAGTCAAATGTTTGCAGGTGTGTGTGTGTGACTTCCTTTGTAGCATTAGAATAGCTGCCCCCTTCACATATACACTGATTAGCCAAAACATTAAAACCAGTGGCTGGTGAAGTGAATATCACTGATCATTTTGTCACAATGCAGTGTTCTACTAGGAAACCTTGACATTCATGTTGATGCCACATGACACACTCCAACCACCCAAACGCTCTTGCAGACCAAGTGCACCCCCTAGTGGCAATGACACTCCCTGATACCAGCAGTACCCCAGCTGGGCAGTGCATCATATGACACCGTACAAACTGCACAGGAAAGGCCTGAGGAAAGTGGCAAATAGCTCAAGGCATCAAGCTGGCCTCCAGATATCCCATATCTCAATCTGATCGAACATCCATGGAATGTACCCTAGAGGTAACCCCGATACAAGGTAGGGCTTCCTCAGATCAGACTTGGCTCTGACCTTTCGAGGCATGGACCTAGGACTTCTGGGGGGTGTACCAGCATGGATGCTTGATCAGATTCGGATCTGGGGAATTTGGAGGCCAGGTCGACACCTTGAGCTCTTTGTTGCGTTTGTCGGACCATACCTGAACAGTTTGTGGCATGGTGCATTGTCCTGGTACTGGGGCCACTGTCAACAAGGAATGCTGTTGCCATGAGGGGGTGTTCTTGGTCTGAAACGGTGTTCGGGTGGGTGGAATGTGTCGAGTGGTATCCACATGAATGCCAGGACCACAGGTTTCCCAGTAGAGCGTTGTATTGTAACAAGATGATGAATTTTAATCACTTCAACTGTCAGTGGTTTTAATGTTGTGGCTGATCGGTGTATTGATCCAATAGTAAATCCTCATTTAGATTTAATTTACAAATGCATCACTTAAGCGGCTGATCAACGGTCTGGCACTGGTCACAACTTGTTCCTGCTCCCTGGTTGTGGCCCGTGAAGCTAATTCGTGGACTGATCACACGACTAGGCTAATTGAGTAATGACAATGTTATTGAATGTGTACATGTTATCAGTGTGGATGCTTCAGTGAACTTCTACCTACTCTCTGAGAGTAAGACGAGAACATCAATCTCATGTCTGTGTGTTTAGCTCAGAACTGCTTTTGGGTCCTGGTTAGCTTAGCTTAGCATAAAGACTGAAAGCAGGGGGAACTGTTAGCCTGGCTCTGTCTGCAGTTGAAAACTTCACCTACCAACACCTCTAATCACTCTGATTGTATCTCCTTTGTTTAGTCAGCACATATATACACCGATCAGCCAAAACATTAAAACCACTGACAGGTGAAATCAATAACATTGATTATCTTGTTACAATGGATTGTTCTGCTGGGAAACCTTTGGTTCTGGCATATATGTGGATGCTACTTGATACGCTCCACTCACCTAAACACCATTGCAGACCAAGCAAATCCCCTCATGGCAACAGTACTCCCAGACGGCAGTAACCCCTCAGCAGAACAATGCGCCATGCCACACCGTAAAAACTGCTCAGGAATGGCCCAAGGAACATGACAAAGAGCTCAAGGCATCAACCTGGCCTCCACATTCCCCAGTCCCAAATCCGAGTGAGCATCTGTGGGACATGCCAATACCCCAGATATACTGCACATCCACGGGGGGGCCTCTACAGATTGGACATAGCTTTGACATGTCAAGGTATGGACACAGGTAGTCTGGGGATGCCCTGTGGTGTCTGGCATCAGGGTCTTCACGGCAGATCCTCTGAGTCCTGTGGGTTGCAAGATGAAATACCAGCATGTCCCAAGGATGATTGATCAGATTTGGATCTGGGGAATTTGGAGGCCAGGTCGACACCTTGAACTCTTTGTCATGTTCTTCAGGCCATTCCTGAGCAGTTTTTGCGGTGTGGCATGACACATTGTCCTGCTGGGGGGGCTACTGCCATTGGGGAGTGATGTTGCCATGAGGGGGTTTGCTTGGTCCACAGTGGTATTTGAGTGCTGCGTGTCAAGTGGCATCCACATGAAGGCTAGGACCACAAGTTTCCCAGCAGAACATTGCATTGTAACAAGATAATCAATGTTATTTACTTCACCTGTCAGTGGTTTTAATGTTTTGGCTGATTGGTGTAAAACAGTTTGTGGCTTTATGTGCGGGGACTATTTTGTTTTAAACAATCAATCAACGCAGTGACTGTGTTCAGTTTTCCGAAAGCTTGCTGTCACAGTGACATTGCCAGGTTTGGTTCCACTGTGCCTGTACAGGAACCAACAACAAAACCTGACATAGTTCAAGAAATAGTTCCACCAATGATGGAGATGTTGTGAGTGCACCAGCTGTTGAACTGTGTCTTTCAGATTGCTTTGCGTGTGGGCAACTATGAGATGATCGACCTGTTGCTGAGGTTTGGAGCCAACGTCAACTATTACTGCAAAGTAAACACAACCCACTTCCCCTCAGCCATGCAGTACGCTTTTAAGGACGAGGTAAACTGTTGCTCTTATTATTATTGCTACTAAGGGCCAGTTCATTATTAATGAGAGGGGAGGGGGTAGTGCAACAAAGGGGAGGCTAGTCAAATATTTTTTTAAGCACTGGGGAGGGACTAATGATTTTATTTTGGGTAAGGGGAGGGGCATACAGCTTTAAATGGCTGTATCTTGCATTTAACAATTTAAAAAAAAAAATCTGTGAGTACAGTTGTCACCATATTTCATCTGGCCTGCTTTGTGTTTGTGTTTGTATGTGTGTGCGTGTGTGTGTGTGTGTGTGTGTGTGTGTGTGTGTGTGTGTGTGTGTGTGTGTGTGTTAGGTGATTCTCAGGATGCTGTGTAAATATGGTTATGATGTGGGGCGCTGTTTTGACTGTCCCTATGGCAGCGGCTCCCACATCCCTGAAGACTACGAAGGATGGAGCAACTCTGTGATCAAAGACACCATGGTAATGAACACCAGTTTATCAGATGGGGGATGTTACACCACAAAACCAAAGAGTTGCCTTTGCATGCCTTGCACGTAGTTTTTAAATTCCTTTTTGACATAGAAAGTACTTATTGGTGCAGGACTAAAGGTCCAGTGTGCAAGATTTCGGGGGGATGTATTGGCAGAAATGGAATATAATATACTAGTCCATACCCGTTGGTAGCTTTGTCACCTTCTACCTATGCCAATCCTCAATGCCTATGTGCAGTTTCACATAGATTGACCACGTCAGTGAGCAGAAAAACGTGGAACAGACAGAATGACACACTGACAGTTTCCTTGATTATGTACAGCATACCATACCATGACTTAGTCATACCAAGAATTAGAAAAAAACAACAACTTTCGGCCACAGGGGGAGCCACGGTCATATTTTAGCCATTTTTACGCATTTTTAGGCATTTTTCTGTTGTTATAGCACCACCGAGTTGCCAATTAGAGTTAAATTTCTCCAGTCACCTTGAGGCGGAAAATGGCGGAAATTCTATATAGCTGGAAGTTATGGGTTCTTGAAGCAGATTTGTTCCTCATGAGGAGAGGCATCTCTGTGCAAAGTTTCATGTCTCTACGACATACAAGGCATGAGATATGCCCATTCAAAGTTTGCAATTTCAATCTGTTGCTATAGCGCCCCCCTTTGGCCAATTGATGTAATATTGCTTCATTCACATCCTCCCATGACCCTCTACCACTGTGCCAAATTTCACATGGATTGACCAAGTCAGTGAGGAGAATGTTTTTGTTACCTTACAATGACATGTTTGTATCTACATTAGGAGGGGAATCTCGTCTATGGAGATCACCATGTTGCACCGCCATGTTTCTACAGTAGCCCAGAACAGACAAACTAAACTGGCTCTAGATGAGACCATTTGCATTTTCACAGTAGCCACTGTAGATAGCGCCCTGAGAATGTTAAAAAAATATATATTGTTTGTCAAACTGCTTTAGTCAGTGATTTTACTGATTTTATTTTGGAGAGGAAGAGACCTCTGCAGATAATTCAGCTCATGGGAAAAATATCTGAACAATGAACACTGACGAAATTCCAAAAAAAGTTTATAAACACCCAAAAAGACTTTGGGGAAAATCCGGTGCAGAAAGGGTGTCAGTTTTGTTTCAACACTGACACCCAGTGTCTTTTATTTCTGTCAAAATAAAGGACAAACGATCATGTTCTAAATATTGAGGGGTACGTATGACTTTTTGTACTGATATGCGTTCACAATTTGTTGTTTTTAGGTTTTCATTTTAATTTTCTGCATGTACTGAACTGCCTGTCACACATTTGTTAAACCAGATTCTCCATCATCTGAAACCATCTCTCCTGCAGAATGTACTCTCAGTCAGCAGCTGCTCCTGTTTGTTTTGTCAGATTCATTAATAATTTGAATCATGCAGTCATGACAGGAAGTGTGCAGGATGGTGTTGATTTAAACACACTGAAGCTCATCCAGACCCACCTTTACATGTGTTGACCTCCTGTCAGTGCAGTTCTGTGAGGTGATCACCGTCTCGTGGCTGACGGACCTCTCAGGTGAGGTGGTCCGCATCCTGTTTGACTACCTGGATCACGTGACCATGTGCTCCAAGCTGAAGGCAGCTGTGATGGAGCAGAAGCAGTGGCCTGAGATCTGCAGGCTGCAGGGTGAGTTCAGTTAAACTTCATCAGTCCCTTTTCTGACTGTGGTCTTCATTCACCTGTGTTTCCTCCTCTTCCTCTGCAGAAAACGCCCGCAGTCTGAAGCATCTCTGTCGTCTGAAGATCCGTCGTTGTCTCGGTCGCCTCCGTCTGAGATCTGCTGTCTTCATGAGCTTCCTGCCGTTACCGGAGCGATTGAAGGATTACATCCGGTACCGGGAGTACGACCTGTACAACCGGCAGAGCAGCACCCCGGGGTGACGGATTCAATTCAGAGACAGTTATATATGAACATATAAAAAAAATGCAGACTTTCAAAATTACACTTAAAGTCACTTTTTTTCTGCTTGTTAACTTATTTTCCGCACCTTACACCTATTTAAAAGTTTTTAATGTATTTTTTTATTTAAAAAAAAAAAGTTTTCCCCTCTCGAAAGACAGTGTGTTATAATTGTGTATGGAGTCATATGAGTGCCATAAAAAAATATAAATCTGTAAAAGAATAAGACATTCATTTTGAATTAAAAAGATAATAATTTTGATTTTTAAAAAAAAATCAAAATTAAAATGTGGAAATATATAGAGAAATAAAAGAATAAATAAATTAGGTAATAAAAAGACAAAAATAAAAACAGAATTGTGAGCATTTTCATTTATTTTCACTTTTTTCTTCTTTTATTATATATATTTATATGTTTAAAAAAAATTTACTTTTTGCATATAAATTGCTTTATTTTTTCTGTAGTTTATTTGTTTTCATGTTATATTTATTTTTATCACTATTATTTATTTTCTCCATTGCTTTTACTTTTTTGTAGTGCTTTCCCCATTTTTTCTTTTTTCCCTATTTATTTTTTTAAAATTGATTTATTTATTGGGCGGCACGGTGGTGTGGTGGTTAGCACTCTTGCCTCACAGCAAGAGGGTTGCCCTTCTGTGCAGAGTTTGCATGTTCTCCCCGTGTCAGAGTGGGTTCTCTCCGGGCACTCCGGCTTCCTCCCACAGTCCAAAGACATGCAGATTGGGGACTAGGTTAATTGGTAACTCTAAATTGTCCGTAGGTGTGAATGTGAGTGTGAATGGTTGTTTGTCTCTATGTGTCAGCCCTGTGATAGTCTGGCGACCTGTCCAGGGTGTACCCTGCCTCTCACCCGATGTCAGCTGGGATAGGCTCCAGCCCCCTCGCGACCCTCAAGAGGATGAAGCGGTTAGAAGATGAATGAATGAATGATTTATTGTTTTATTTGTTTCTCTTTATAGTTCCACTGTTAAATATTTTATTTACTCTTACTCTTATTTATTCCTCCTTTTATTTCCAGATTCATTTTCATATTCGTTTACAGAGATTTTTAAAGTTTATTGTATTTTATTTATTTATTCATTTATTTATTCATTTTGTGGCACTTCTATGACTCCATAATTTGTCTATATTTTCATAAAACATAAAAGCAACCAGTGTCTGAAAGTCAAATACAGAATGGGAGTGCACAATCCAATGTGAAGTCTTGTTTCCATAAAATGATTGAAAATAGAAAATAACAGAATGATGCCAACAACAAATAATTGTCTCATGTTTGTTGCAGATATAATTTTGTCAGATCGTCAGTGTTTCTATTTTATTATCACATTTGACAACACATGTGAATTACAGTTTGTCAATATTTCATTACACTTTGATGCTGCTGAAATGAAATAAATCATAATTTATTGACCTGTTTGTTGACTGTTAATAATGATGACACTAAGAATCTGCACAGGCCAGATATTTGCATCTGTTTTAAAGTAAATATTGTTTTACCATCAGGAGACCTTAACTACCAGCTGCTGAAAATTTGAATCCTGTTGATATCAGGACAAAATCCTCACTTTGTACACAAGAAAATGTCCAGATGGTTCAAAACAACACTAAGATAATGACAGAGGTGTTTTGTTTCAGGATGTTGTGGACTTCTTTCTCCCCCCAGTGGCCAAAAGAGTCATTTATATTCTCCTTTTTATTTTTCAGATAACATTGGCCAGTTTAAAATCCATTTTGCACCCCATGTCAGCATGGGTTTCCTCCAGGTACTCCAGCTTCCTCCCACAGTCCAAAGACATGCAGGTTAACTGGTGACTCTAAATTGTCCGTAGGTGTGAATGTGAGTGTGAATGGTTGTCTGTCTCTATGTGTCAGCCCTGTGATAGTCTGGGGACCTGTCCAGGGTGAACCCTGCCTCTTGCCCAGTGTCAGCTGGGATAGGCTCCAGCCCCCCCATGACCCCTAACAGGATACACGGTTACGCAAAATGAATGAATGAATGAATGAATGAATGAACAGGTGGAAATGGGCTTCCATGACAAAGTGCCCTGGTGGACTGCAGGCTTAAAGGTGAACTCTCAAGTGCTTCTACATATGGAATAAAAAGTTGTACAAAGCCTTTTATGGCTTCAGAGGGAGGTGTGCAAAGTCCGATAACTTGCCTCATGTGATGTCACTTGAGTCAGAGCAAGTTTTAAATTGAAAAAAACGAAACAAAACAAGGGGGTATTAAGGCTTAAGGCTCAAGTTGCTACAAGCATAACACAAACAAATCTCTGACCCAACTGTGGTCTAGTTGCATTCTGGATAATGCAGGGCCAGGTTAACACAATGCTTCGAATAAACAAAATATGTCTGGTTCTGCTGCATCAGTTTTAATACTTTTAAAATAATTGTCCACCGAGAGTCCAACGATGTTATAAGAGTGAAATTGTTGGAGTTCTCTTTTTGAAACTGACCTCAAACTGTCAGGTTGAGATCAGCCAGGAGACCTCTGCTCCATGTTGCTCATTTCCTGTCGTCTCTACACTGCTGACTTTCTAATAAAAACAGCAATAAAATACCCTGAAAATCCTCTAAAAAGATGCAATATCGTGGAAAATAGTGGAATTTTTTCATCCCAATCATGTAATGCTTTTTTAAAACTGGTTTAATCAAAATCATGATGCTGCATGAACATTTAACTTTACTAGATGGAAATTCTAAGATGTATTAAATGATAAGATGTGTTGTTATTACAACAGAGTTCAATTTTAATATGAAATAAAATCCACTGATTCTGATTTATTATCTATAAAGAGCATTGCATTCCCCACAGGAAAAACTAATTGTAGGCCTCAATTATGACGTACTGTCGCATAATTACAAAAAATCTCATTATTACAAGATAAGATCTCAGTTATTTTTCTTTCTGTGAATGAAATGCTTCTCCATAAGTCTCATAACTTTGACTTGGGTGCTCATTTTCCTTCTTTGTAATCTTTCCTTCTGAAATTACTGCACAACAGTTTCCCATGTGATAAAGTTTTGTCTTAAATCTTTGTGCCTGCTCCTTGCTTCTGTCTCGTTCTCACAGAAATGGACTTACACAGAGTGATTTAAGACACAGCCAGTAAGTTCATGTGACCTTGTTGGGTTTGAAAGCTCTGTGATACTTTGTTAAGTGCACTCATACTCCTCTTTAACTGCATTAACTTTTCAATAAACGTTTCAGGAACTCAGCAACATTTTCTCAGGAGGAGCCTGGATCCAGTTTTACCTCTTGCCCCACATTAAGTCTGTTTTCTGATGGTCCAGGATCAGGATCAGGGCAGAATGTGCAACACCAGCTGCCACTTGTCTCGGACTGTAGGAATGCACCTAATGATTATTTTCATTACCGATTATTCTGTTGCCTATTTTCTTGCATAATCAATTAATTGTCTGGTCTAGAAAACGTCAGAGAATGATGAAAAAGGCTCATTGCAGTTTCCCAGAACCTTCGTTGTAGAAAATATTCCCACACACTTACATCTCTGCAGTGTTTCACTTTATTATTGAACTTCGGGTCTATTTGACTTTCATTATAGCAAACATGAGGCAACAATGGACAGGCAGGTAATGTAACCAATCTCAGTCTAATCACTGGCCGTATGCCACACACCTGTGTGCAACCCCGGTGGTAGGAGCTCCACCTCCTGGGAGTTGTAGTTTTTTTTTATGTCTTTTCCTGTATTCACTGTGTTCTACCCTCTTTCTTGTATTCTGGTGTTGTATGAGAAGACAAGTATGGCTTCCATTTGTCAGCCTCACAGTTTGCCATTCAGTATTAAAAAAAAAACAACAACCTACAACTCCCAGGAGGTGGAGCTTCTAGAGATTGGTTACTTTTACCTGCCTGTCCATTACTACCTCATGTTTGCTCAGATGAGGGTCAAATAGACCCAAAGCTCAACAATAAAGTGAAACACTGCAGAGATGTAAGTGTGCGGAAATCTTTTTCTACCGTTTTTTTGGACTTACTGATGTTTCCAGCACCTTGTCAAGACCAAGCCAGGTGGAGCGTTGGTTGCTCTGCATCAGTTTCCTAAAATGTCAAAGACATCTTCAGATATGGAATCCAGGGATATTTGTTTTGCAATCACAGAAGACTAAAATACACCAGAAATCATTCACATGTGAGACACTGGAACCACAGATATTTTTCGTGGATTTTTTTCTTTTAAAAAATGTCTCATATTGATAAATCAATGATCAGTTTTGTGGCAGATTAATTTTTTTGTCAGCTGACTGATTAATTGACTAATCATCACAGCTGTGCTTGGGACTGAATTTTATCTAATGTCACTGACATTTATGCAGCTGACCTCCAGGCTAGTAAAACAAGCAAGAGCAACGTGACTTTGAAGCAGCTATAGTTATTTTTTTAACAATCAACCCTACAAAACTGAGAAAGGTAGTGATGAACCTACAGGATCTGCAGCTCCTCTTGACTTTACAGAGCGTTAATGAACTCCAGCTTGTTGTCCAGCTGTCCAGCTTACCATTTTTTTATTTTGGGTCACTTTTATCACTTTCATAGAATTGTTTTCAGTTAAAAAGGCTGTAAAAAAAGGCTGTTGTACACTACCTGCTCAGCACACAGATAATTAGATAGGTAAATTAGAAACTAGCTGAACAGACTGGAGCATTTGGCAGCTAAAGGGACAAATATCACCCTCAGGAGTTGGTGGTGACCAAAACAGAGCTAAAAGAGAGTAAATATTGGACTGACATTCATCAGGTGGACACAAACACAATTCCATATGAATGATAATGTTGCTCCATAACCTCTAGATCAGTGGTTCCCAACTGGTCCAACCACAGGGTCCAGATTTCTCCTTAGTCATTAGTTCGAGGTCTACACAGTTTGCGTTGAGCCATGTCATCAAGCTAGTTTGCTGTCTCTGTCCAGAAGCTGCCCATTAGTCACTCCACAGCAGGAAACAGCACTTCAGAATAAAAGCTCTGTGACAGATATTCACCAAAGTGGTAAAAAAAATAGTTATTGAAGGCTGAAGGTTGTGATTTAGGTCCTGAGACTTAGTGAATTTGTATTTTTCTTCATCCTGATGAACTGACAGGTCTCAGATTTGTGATACTGAATTACGTGACTGTCTGTGTCTCTGCACCAGCTGCTGCTCATGTTCTGTTTATGTGATAATTAAAGCGTCTGAAGAGAGCTGTCAGTGCCCCATTTGACCTGCAGCTTTCTGCCACAGCAGGACTCACCCGTCGGGGCAGAGATGGATGTGTCTGTCTGGTCAGTAATTACAACACAAGCCCAAAAGCTTCTGGAAAGATTTAATCTCACTTACTTCCACTGTTCTAACAAACAGTCAGGATGATGTCAGATGCAAAAAAATGCTGCTAAATAACTCAATCATTGAGGCTAATATCCATGATGAGATATCATGATCTGAGAGGACACGTGGACCATCGCTGCTCTTGACTCTTGATGGCTGTAACAAGAATGTTCTGACGCCGTGGTGGAAACTGACCCAAACAGGAGGACATTAATGTGCATGCACGTCTTTACCAACTCCTTAAAATGTGAAGTGAAACAAACCAAAGTCTAAAGATGGTGTCTACCTGTTCTAACACACACACACTCACACTCACACACGTTCAACAGAGCTTCCCAGCAGATCAACAGCTCCACAGCAGGCAGAAGTGTTGGGCTCACTGAGCTCACTCAAGTCTGGACTTACTGCAAGTTTTCTGAATAAACACAATCTGATTTTTTGAGTGTTGGACTGAAGCTGAGTCAGCAGCAGATTTAACAGACTTGAGTTAGCTCAAATAATACTGTGTAATTCTCCTGACTTCTCACACACTGTGTCTCTGAATCTCTTTACATGTTATACATTTTGGGGGAGGAGGGGGGGAGGGGGCATGTAAAAGACAAAACATTTTCCCACACACATGGGTAAAGGTACAATAAAAAAATAAATTATCACCTCAATAAACCAAAAATAAAATATTCATATTTGCTCTCTTATTCCAGCTCCTGTGGGGTGAGTTCCTGGTGCCGTCCAGCAGGGGGTGGCGCTGCGTCACAGCCGGCCTCTGGAACTTGTTGGAGGAGGCATAAATGGACAAATGTGATTGGCTAACACTGTCTCATCAGGACCAATCAGATGAGATAAATGTTGACATCTTTGGATGAATTGTGGCCAATTCTGTTGACAGTCACAGGACCATGAACTGTTTTTGTTTTGTGTGTGTCATGACACGTTTAAGGCCGGGCAGTTAATAATCATTACACATTATCATTCAAACACTTGAATGGATCATGATGAATTAAACACATCATGTTTCACAAAATTATGTTGAATGATTCCAGGCAAATTATCATTGAAAACCTGGAAAAGGTCATTGAAATGGAAGGGTTTTTTCCACTGTAATGAGCATGAATCTGATTATTTTCTATGACTCTGCACAGATCGTGATTTTATCACATTATATATGTATATAATATACGTAAGAAAAATATTCTTCTTATTAAATATTCTTGTTATTCAACCATAACACCCAGCCCGAACTTAAAGAAAAAAGCTGGCACTGTTCTGTATTTTTCTTATTGTCATCAAATCCCATTAAAAAAGACCCAAACCAACAATGTGTTTGTTCGCAGCACTTTGACTTCCTGTCTGTGGCTCTCAGCCTCATCTGCTCCCACTAAAGGTGTAAATCTTTAAATCTTTTTGGCTCACAGATATAAAGCTGATAAAACAATCCCACCACACGGTCCATTAAGTAGCTGTTTCTGATCATATCGCACGATCCATTATTTCTCGTCCGTAATTGTTTAAAAGTAGAGTGAAAGTTCACTCAGCAACAGGAAACAGTCATTAGAAGCTGTTTTGGAGCTTTTGATCATTAAAAGACAACATGTTCAAAAAGTCGTCAAAGCATTAAAAGAAAAATGAAATTGGAACATCAACTGTTATCTTCTAAAGCTCCAAAACAGCCTCAGAAGATAATTGATGCATAAAAATAACTTTCAACGTCACATTTAAAAGGCTCAGTAATTTCCTAAAACATCTGGTCAGTTTTTTTAACAGACGTTACTGAAACAGGACGAAATAATGCATTTGTTGGGAGCAAATTAATCCACATTTGGTGCTCTGATGAATATTTGGGGCAGCAGGATGGTGTGTGTGGGATTGGGACAAAATAAACCACAGTGTGTGTGTTCAGGGTGATGAAGGAACATGTCAGGGTACAGTGAGACTCACTGTCGTGTAGAGCAATGGAGCTCTGTGACACACAGGAAAGGATATTCGACTTTTGATACACACACAATGCTTGTTAGTAGAACCAATTAATTGTTGGTTTGAGTCTTTTTTCGATGGGATTTGTTGATAAAAAGAAAAATATCAGCAGACCAGATTTGGGAAAGTGACACTTATGCTTTCGATATTACACAATAACCCAGAGGATGATTTTACAGGACACCGACTACTAACGTTTTTTGAATTAAGCCCCAAAAACGGACACACAGCTTTTTTTTTTTTTTTTTTTTTTTTAGAAATTATCTATATTCTCTCCTTAAAGCCTACTTCTATGTTGCACTTAATCTCCGTTCTCCCTGTAGGCGATGCCGCCCTCTGCACTGCTGAAGAAAAAAGTTGCCGTCTATCATCGCCATCTATTGCTTTAACAGTTGCTTGGATGTGTTTCTGAGTGCGTTTTCAAGGTAACGCGAGAAAGAGTCTGTTCACCTGTCCAGGTTTGGTTTCTGTAGAGAAAGAGGAGTGACGAGGAGTAGAGGTCAGGAGGGGGGAGTTGGGGAGTGAGGAGGGAGGGGAGGTGAAGTGTGTGTTGGCCAACTTCAGTGGGCGGCCCCTGGGATTCAGCTGATTGGTTGTTCAGAGAGGATGCTCTGTCCCGCTGTGCTGTCAAACAGCTCCACAGACAACTGTTCCCAGGATGTGTGTATGAGTGTTTGATTGTGTGCGTGTGTTGTTGTTGTTCGTCTATCTTGGTGAGGACCAATTTTAGTGGACCTGTCGGACCTTGGGAGTGACAACGTTTTTGGCTAGTCCTCACATCCTTCAAAGTCTGACTTGGTGTTTTGGTTAAAGTCCCGCTCCACTCATAAGCATGTTCTGCTTATTGTTACTTTTAGTCTGTGTTTGAATTTCACTGTGTAGAATGATGAATGTGAGTTTGACACCAGAGGGCTGTTCTCATTCTCATTTCATATGAACATGTCTTCAAGTGCGATTTAAAGAGAGCTCAGAGAAACTTTCCTCCTTCAGCAGACAAATGTGAAAACACTCTACACATACATCATTCAGCTCAGTGAGAGTCAAACATCCAGCTGAAGTTACACTAAGCTAAACATATTTTCGAGCGGAGGAGGACTTTACAGTTGGACTGTGATGGTTAGTGGTGACGGCTCAGGTTGGGGTGAGGGGCTGGGAATGCATTAAATCAATGCAGGTCCTCACAAGTATAGAAGTACAAATGTGTGTGTGTGTGTGTGTGTGTGTGTGTGTGAGTTGTGTGCATGTTGTGTAGAGCCTCAGAGGTTCTCCATATCAGCTTGAAGTTGCAGCCATTTTGGCTCCACTGTCCCACCTCCTGGCGGTTGCTATAGTAACTACTTGACTGTAGAATGCCCATGTTGCCATGGTGACGTCCTGAAGAGCCTTGTTTCATATTTACAGCCAAACCATCTCAGTTCTTGAGAACACCGCGGCACGACCTGCACTGACTGTACGACCTGAACTAACTCACAACAAGATGTGTGTGTGTGTGTGTGTGTGTGTGTGTGTGTGTGTAGGTGTGTGTGTTCGGAGCTACGGCAGGTTGTCGTCCCGCAGGCTCTCCAGGATCTGGACCAGGCTCTCCAGTCCAAACACATAGCCTCGGTCCGGCCCGTCGTGCACTGCTGTGTCGCCACGGAAACCCTTGAAGGTGGAGTGGGCGAAGTCGATCATACGTACATCCACCAGGGGGGGCTGCTGCGGAGCAGGAGGAGGGGAGAAGGAATTTAAGCTAGGAGCAGGGGAGGAGTCTGGATGCGGGTGAGGCAAGGGGTGAGGGGGGAGGAAGGAGTGGCAGTCTGAGTTGGAGGGCGGGACCTGTGGGGGAGGACGCGGGCAGGGGGAGGGAGTAGTCATCAGTCCAGGTCCCTGAGAGGACAGTAACCCCGGGTCTGGGTTCTGGCTCATGTCCGTTTCACAGGGAGTGTCTGGGGCAGGAGGTGCGTGGAGGCCGGGGCCACAGTGGGGCTCTGGAGGGGCTGCAGGAGTCTTCAGGTGTGAGGACGCATGCTGCCCGGAGCTGAGGACCTCAGGTTCCTACAGACAGAATCAAACACAGAGGGTTTATTTCATGAGTTTATTTCCAACACACACAACTGTACGTTTTTGTGGGTGGGAAGCCAGTGAGGGATCACAAACTTGCTGGATGCAGTGTCTTCATGAACAGGGTATCCAACATCTCAGTGTGGTGCAGCATTAACTCAGTAGGGGGAACCCTAGCTACAAATTATTGGTGGGCCCCAAGTTAGTCTGATTGAAAGCAAGGTCACTGTGTGTCTGTAATTCAAACTGTAATATTCAAAGTGTTAGAACAAAGTTTTGATTCAGGGCCCCTCTACAAGAAAAGGTAAATATGCAAGAAGTATGCCATCCTGTTTCAGTATTTGCAAATAACTGCATTACAACAAAGTACTGGCTGCCTATCTCATCATGGTCTTTGGGGCCCTTGAGGGTCTGGGCCTCTGGGTCTGGCTGGTAATCCAGATTTGGCTGCAGTTACTTTTGTGGAGTGTAAACAGACCTCATCTGGACTTCACATCTCGCTTTTTTAGTGACAATTCTGAGCTATAAACACAAAACATGACAAGTTCTGACTGACTTCACTGAGGAATAAATAAGTTCCACACTTTGTTCAGCTGATGAACACATCGTCACAGAGCAGATTTATTTTGACACTAAAACACAAAGAGCGCTCTCAGGGCCCCGCTCACCTTTCCCTCATAGATGATGAGCAGCGAAGACGAGTAGAAGCGATAGGACGCCTGCCTCTCCAGCACCGCCTTCAGGCTGCGAAGCTTATTCAGGATTAGCTCAAAGAGGTCCTGCCTCAGACCCTTTCCATTGTGCAAGTACTGGTAGAGGGCCTGGCGGAAGCCTTCGATCGACAGGCCGCGGCCGTAGTACTTGTTCCTGCAGAGGTAGTGACTGGTGTTCAGCTGGTACACCTGCAGAGACAGACGGCACAAACATCTCACTGCAACACAAATACTGTAATACATCACACGCTGCACATGCAGTCAAATTTTCAGAATAAAATCCAGTTAGTGAGTAAATTAAATATTGGTTTCCTGACATGGTTTTGACAGCTGTTGGATTATTAGTTAGAATCAAACATCTGTCAAATTGTGTCAAGAATCCTGGGGCCTAAATATCAGTGCAGACAATCAGTGGGACATTTACACAAGTACTGTACTTAAGTATAATTCTGAGGTACTTGTACTTTACTTATCCAACAGGCTAAGGAGTTACAGGAAATTAACTGATGTATTATTTGTAGTGCTCTTCATAGTCTTTGTAGTGCTTATAGTAGAAGTAGTGGGAGTAATACTTGCAGAATTGGAGGTTGTACAGTACAGGAGGTAACAGCAGAATAATGTTAAAGTATCACTACGTCATCTGATCCTCCACCTCCCCAGAGACAAAACAGAAAATAATTACAAAAGCACAGACCATATTTTTATGGCTCTATGGGCACACACACAAATATTATGTTTACTCTACCCACTTTACCCCAGCAGAATGAACTGTAACATCAACAAATTGGAAGATGTTCTAAAGATAAATGAGCCTGCGTTATTTCCTCTACATCCTCAGGCAATTATGTTTTGCACAAGATGGAAGCTGGGATGTTTACAATGATGCGGTGGCTGTTGTACCTGCATGCCACACACTCTGACTCCCAGTGTCGCTGAAGTGCTCTGTTCACATTTCCTCATCTGCCTGGCCGCCTTCTCCTCGGAGGCGTCGTCTCCGTGCTGCCTGGTGCCCATCTTCAGGTCCAGGATGCAGGGGTAAAAGAATTTGTGAACAACGTTCTCCAACAACAGAAACTCTGGTTCAAACGATGCAGTCAAGGAGCAACTTTCTGTTTGTCGAGCAAATCAAAGCAACAATTTCCAAAGCATAAAACTGCAAATGAGCAGATGCCAAGTTGCAGAAGTGCTACGACTGATTTGTCTGATAGTCTGATAATTAATTACATTTCCTTTCTTTGCCATTTTTTCTAATTAATGTTTTGATATTGTCAAAAAATTCAACACTTCCTACAAATGTTTCACATTAACATCTGCAGCCAGTGTAGAAACTCCACACTCTTGTCATAATATGGATAGAAAAACAGACGAAATGGAAGGGACTGAAATTAATTCGTCAGTGAGAACTCGATCTCTGTTAAAAAAGAAAGTGTTGTTGAAATAAATGTACATTAAACTGAACTGATCAACACTACATGTGAAAAGATCATCAAATACAAAAGGGTGAAAATTAGGAATAAAACCATGACTGCAGAATATAAATGCTCCTATAAACATTCTCTATGCAGAGGAGGTACATAAAAGCATCGCCCACTGTGTAAGATTTTATGTTTTGGTCCATTCATGGAATTATCGGAGGGAAAAAAACACTCTAGCAATGTTATTCTATTATTTCTCCATCAAACACACTCACTGTAAAGCCTCTCCTTCCCTTAGCTGCATGTTAATATGGAAATATGGTTATCAGTGAGACAGAGTATTCCTGATGATCACTCTGAATACATTAATAGACATTTGATTATTAGATTTCAATTACACCTCGACCTTTTGTTTCTTCCTTGTAACTTTTTCTATTTTCTGATACTGTCCCTACAGTTAAAGGGAAATTCTTGTTTGAAAATATGCTAAAACACACTGAAAACATAACTCCTAATTCTCAGCTCTCAGCTCTCAGCCTCAGCGGTGATCGATTTCAATGATTTGAATGCACCACGTATCTGCACAGGGAACCTTCTCTGCCTGTTGAATCTGCTCTGACCTGACACAGATGGACCTTGTTGAGGACAGAGTGTGTGTGTGTTGCTGTGTTTTCCAGACAGCTGCAGTCTGCTCTCTTTGAAGATCAAGATCAAAACACAACCCTCGACCCGATAACCTCCGACGCCTCCCACCGTCCTTCTCACAGTCTCACTGGGATTAACATTCAGTGCCTCTGATTGTACCATAGACTGCATAAAAATAATGGATGTAGCCACTGTGACGTCACCCATCGGGTTGTGGACTACTGTTATAGAAGAAAGTGTTAATTCACCACCTGCACTGTACATTATTGCACTATTTATCATCATTTACCATATCAAGTTTATTCTTGACCTCAGAAAAAGTAGTTTGTGAAAAAATCTTATCTTACTGTCCATTTCTAGTTTTTTCCCCAGAGTTTCACGGGTTGCAAAGCTGTGGAAAAAGCCAGTGAACAGACCTTGATTTCAGTTTCTTTGTCAAATGAAAAGAGCCTGTTGAGAGTCAGTGGACTTGATTAGTTGAGAAAGGATACTGAAGAGTTTGCGGTCCTTGGATTCAGACCTCATGCGGCTGAGCTGCTGTTTGTGGCAGCGGAGGCTCCAGGGGTTGTGGCTGATCTTCTCCGAACTCAACCCACTGTTCCAGTCCAACATCTGGAAGGGAACGTCCGAGTGGATCTTTGGGTCGAGCCTGGGACTCTTCAGCTCTCCAAGACTGCAGGGAGGAGGAGAGAGAAGATCGTTAATACAGCAGAAATGACTGTTGGTGAAGAACTTTCCAACGTTCTGGAGTGATATGAAATGTTTACCGTGTTTTAACAATGACTCCAACTATTCGTCACATCCCTACTTACTTATCCGAAGTGTCGGAGTCGTGCGCCTCCCTCCTGTCGGCCCGCTCATCCTTGTGTTCAGAAGAGGAGGAGGATCGATGGAGGCTGCGCCGGGAGTGTTTCCTCCTTGGCTGCTCCCTCTCTGGAGGGTCTCGCTCCTCGTGCTCTGCCATCCCTCCCTCCATGTTGCTCTCCACATAGGGGTAGGCCACCAGGTTGATGTAGCCATCAGAGTCACCTTCAAAACAAACCAGCACTACACCTAACGGGACAGAGCACAGACAGACAGGATGTTTAGAAATGACATTTATTACAATATCAAGACAGAGAAGTATAATCCATCTTCTTAATGACGTTAAATGTCTTACAAAATGTTTGTCTCGAAACAGCATTGCTTAGAAAAGTGACAGTTACTGCAACTGCAACGTGACTCATTAAGGAGGACAACAAACAAACTGAATGTTTAAAGGTCTTCAAGGGTCATTTCTTACTTACAAAGACCTGAGACAAGTCAGGTCAAGTCTAAATTATATCCAGTCTCATCAGATGTGGTAAGGCCTGGTGTGTTGACACAGGTCTTAGGTCTGTGTGTCAACATGTCTAATAATACCCGAGTGCACACGCTCTATCACTTGATGCTGTAGAAACCTTTATTGGCTCCACAGTAAACATCAGACATGCATGTTGGTTTATATATCCAGCCAATGTCAGGTCCACATCCACTGAGAAAACCTTTAGCATGCAAGCAACTTAACATGGAAACACTGTTCGTTTAAAGGCAGCCCTGACCCTAAAGTGACACAGTATAATGTCTACTGAGGCCATTGTGGTCAAATTGACAATACAGAATGATGTTAAAAATACTGAAACAGTAACACAAGTAGAGGAGAGTCATAAAGTCAGCAAAGTGACTCAGTAACGTATACGGCAATGTCCATCTAAAGTGTACTGACACTGTAACATGAGCCACCATAGACCAGGTCAGGCTGTAGCGGCAAAACAACTGAGTGCTTTGAATGAAGTAAAGGTGTGTTTGCTTTTAATTTGCTAAAGAAAGAATGATATATTTCTTCCACACATGGACATATTCCTGTACTTTATACTTGATGCTGTGAGCTGTTGCACATCCCCTAGTCAATATTTTTGCACATTTTGGCACAAAACAATTTCTTCTATTGTAAATTGTTCTATTAAATATTAGATTTCTTGACTTTGTATTTATCGTTAAGCACTAAAACACCCAGACAAATTCCTTGTATGTACAAACCTACTTGGCAATAAAACTGTTTTTGATTCTTTTCAATGTTGCACATTGTGACTTCACAGCTGCAGTTACCACCATCTTTACATTAAAAAGTGCTCATGATGTGAAAGTGTCACTCACAGTGCAGTTGCTCAAATCAAGACTGAATAAAACAGTTCAGTCACTGGTGTTTTTAATGACTGTGACTTTAAGTGTTCTCAGTCACGGTGGGTAATATGGCTCAAACTTGGCATCACAGTATACACGATGTACTTTTGTATATCACTGTAGCTATTTATAGGTACGTGACAAATTAAAGGTCTGATTGGAGTGGTGTCTCTGTTATGAAAAGACCTCCATCCAACAGGCTCACTGGATGGCTGACGAGTATGAAAATGATGTGGATTATATGCTATGGCCTTCACAGTCAACCACACTTAGGTCACGATCACACAGAGACACGTTGCTAGAAACCAGGGTTGGAAATGAACTTTTTTGTCCACCTGCCACTGTGGCTAGTGGGTTCCAAGATCTAGCAGCCACTTGCAAATTGTACGAGCATTTGGCTGGTGGCTGGTGCTAATTTCCAATCCTGCAAGAAACACGTCACCATTGAAACCACTGTTTGCCTATTGTACGGCATGCTTGGCGTGCGCTTTTCTCTTGTGCCACATTTCACGGTTTTAAGACATGAATAAAAGTTAAAATATTCTCAACTTTGCAAGGTGCTTGTTAGTATCACAGTTTCTTAAGCCTTTAGATGAGGTAGGAACAGTGGGAGAATAGCAAATGCAGACAAAAGGTTGATATTAGGGGTATTTCTTTACAATGAAGATCTCCCCATTGTTTAAATACAAAGCAGCTAGCTGTTGGACTGTGACAGAGCTATGGAGTATGTGTGAGGGAAGGGGGAATTTATATTTGATGCCGTGATCGTTTCATGTAAGCTACTGTCCTCGAGAGAGAAAGAAAAACCATACGGTTTCCTTTTTTGTTGTGAACCTAAAACTTCCACTTTCTATGGGCTGTTTTCTCTCCTGATCTGATAACAACAACAACAGCTCCTTGTCTGCTTGAATCCTTGTTTTCTTCTGTTAATTATATTTGATTACCCACTTGCACACGCAGCCAGGGCTTTTTTAAAGTGGCCACGCCTTTAGCAACATGTCTCAGAGTGATCATGGGGCCTTATGGGAGAATGTGATGTTGATGCTCCACAGAGAATTCTATGACAAGGAGCACTGAAGCTGTTCTGGAGGAAGAACACCTTACTAACACACTTAATGTTGGGTTGTCATGTCATCTGTCATCTGTCATCTGTCTGTACAACAAGATTCAGTAAATGTTCTGAAAATTCAATGGAGAAACTTTATAGATTAAATACCCAGATAGAAAATGTCTGACGATGTATTATTTAAACATTAAGCTGTTATTTTTAGCTCCAGTAGAGCATCTCATCCCCGCTAAGTGAGACGCTGAACATCCTCCCTGTTTGTCCAAATTTAATTTTGCTGTCAGTTTGCTCAGTCGTGGGAAACAAAATCCGAAGATCACGTCCAAACTGAAGCGTGCCCTCTGTCCACAGGAAACTGGACTTCTTCACCACCTCCACACCCCAAACACAAGGAGAAATTTGATCTGATGATGTCGAAGACTTTGTGGATAAAACAACCTTGACAGATTCAGAAAGTCGTCCCTGGGCAGCTGTCTGTCTGTCTGCTGTTATTTAATCAGCAGGACAATGGTAGTGGGCAGAGATCCAGGGCTAAATATAGACTCCTTATGGACCACTGTTGTCATGGCACTGGGACCCACAATGCCAGCGGGGTGGACCGGTGGGAATACAGAGAAACTGGTAGCTGCAGGTCATTGTACTGGGAATGTATCCACCAGGTCTCATGTTAAGTCGCCCAATGGATGTTTTTTAAAGGGCAGTTAAGATCATAAGTGATTTATTGAAGCCAAGCTCAGTCTACAGGGGTTTTAAAATCTTGACCAGTTTTGGAATAATGGTGCATCACACTAAACAGGATAATATTAAGATTATTGTGCAAGAGGGAACTTGAATGCACCATCTCATGGGATCTCATGGGGAAGCAGATGTAAAGACTGAAGTTGTGTGATAACTTGCTGTTATGTAAAAATGTTTTGCAGTAAGAAAAAAACAAAAGCAGGAAGCAAAACAAGTCTGTATGAGAAGATAGTTGGGGAGACGCGGTAAACATGTTGTCAATTCTTTAGCAATAACTGGAGGTGAGATCTTAACCGTCTGTTTTCACATCTGTTGACAGTCATATGCTAGTTTACCTTAACTTTAAGGGCTAAATGTTCACCACTGCTTGGCAACACCATCAGCTGCTCCATATTGGCATGAGCATAACTGTAATCATCCAGATTTTAAATACTAAATATCCCAAGTTTAAAATCACTTGGGCGGCTCCAGTGAGTTTGTGAGCAGTTTGAGACTGGATCTATAAACCTCTCACATTACCAGAAAATCTGGGCCACACGTCAGTACCAACCACAGTCCAAGACCAGATTTCTCCCCGGATATTGATGGGAGGGGTGAATCTGGAGTAAATCAGCCCCAGATTCTGGTGTGACTGTGGTTCAGAGATAGAGCAGGTTGTCCACTAATTGGAAGATCGGCAGTACAATCTCCGGCTCCTCCAGTCTGCATGTCTAAGTATCCTTGGGCAAGATACTGAACCCCAAAGTGCTTACGATGGTTGTTCCATTGGTGTGTGAGAGCATGTGAATGGTATGGTAGCCTCGGCCACCAGTGTGTGACTGTGTGTGTGAATGGGTGAATGTGACATGTAGTGTAAAAAGCGCTTTGAGTGGTTGGAAGACCAGGTAAGAGCTATACAAGTGAAGTCTGTTTACCATTTACCCCAAACTCCTGTAGTCTTACAGCTCAAATACATGGAACGTGGACACACTGCAACGTGTCTGTCGCAGCAGAGAGCGTCAGAGCTGCTATGCTGAGCACAGAAGACTCTTGTCTATTTTTAGGTGGCTTTTTCTTCTTCTGCGCCCTCAAACAGGTGAAAACTACACAAAACTGTGTAAAAAATGAGTACAATCTGTTTAAAAAGGATTGAAATTAACACCTTATTGTACCAGAGTCAATGTGATGCACCATATTTATTTTTGTCACATTAAAATCCATTATATCAATGCATCCTGTTGTTAAAACAAGCCATTTAATAGGTAATACAGTTGATGTTAATAAAGCTTACACTTCCAAACACTCCATAACCAACTGCATTATCAATTCTCAAAACTCAATGGACACACAGTGAAGCTGGCAACAACCACGCGCTACAAAGACTGAGTCAGTCAAGTAGCAGTTAAAGAAACCCCACTCTGTCGCGTCCATGCCCAATGTATTTCGGCTTTTAGTCAATGAAATGTCAAAAAATAGTAATTTAATCTTCTTTCCAGGCATCGATTAGACCCCATAACACTTCTCTTTGTTAATCAAGATTACATATGTATGAGTATTTCCATAGAAAAACACCCCTTCATGCCTTCAGATGGCTCAGATGTAACTCTACATCTTTGCCTCATTACGCATGTGCAGATCTCTGAATATGCAAATCAGTCCACTCCTCAGCCACTCGCCTGCAGCTTGAGTGTACCTGCTCACCTTCGACTCTGCTCATCAATCCCACAAACCTCTGCTTGTTAACATTAACAGATAATGTGAGCCTTCGGCCTGACTACATTATTGAACTGCCAAGAATGTGTTAACATTTGTTAGAAGAACCTTTTCCCTGATCGCTGGCTCTGACAGGTGGAAGTGAAACATAACATGCAAAATAATTGTACAGATGGAAAGCCCCGCCCCACGAGTTGACCGTTTTGGTTCCTTAGGGTGGTCGACTCTCCCAGAGTCAACTCAGCTGGGGATGAAAACTTTTCTTTTTGCGATATTTGGACTGTTTTTTTTTTTTGTTTTGTTTTTTTTAATTTTCAGCATCTCCACTCAGTGATGCACAAATTGAAAATGTGCATGAAAATAGGTGGATAAAAACACATTTAATCATGCACAGTCTTCAGTGCATACACCCACACAGTCCTCACAAAAGGACCAATCAAGAACAATAACTGAAAACACCTATGTGGGTGCTATGTGGTAGAACAGAAGATTTAATCATTATTTTTTTGTGGTCCAAGATCTTTCCAAAGCTTTCTCACCACCCTTTGCAATTAATGTTTTTGCAGCTGTGAATAACTCCTCAATGATTGTACAATGCATTAAGGGAAAACACTGTCCATCAACAGCTCACATAACCCCACTACATACTCAAAAAATTGATGAAGTGGGACACAGATCATGATTTGTCGCGCTTTCCCTCCAAACCTTCCTCATGGCAGACGTTTTTACATCAAAGATGGATGAAACAAATGTAACATAATAAGGACTGCTTTCCATCTCAGTGTTTCAGCGTCAGTCTCTGTGTATGTGTTGGCTCTCTGTTGTGACTTTGACGCACACCTAAATGGAACAGAGCCATCATTAATGTCATTAGTTACACCTGCTCCACCCACCATCAAAATCTCTCTTCATCTCCCAACCTACTTTCATTCGTCATTGTCTCCTCTCTTACATAGTTTGCTAAAATGATAAATAGGTCACATGCATGTAGGAGAGGATGAGGGGTGTGTTTGTGTGTGTGTGTGTGTGTGTGTGTGTGTGCGCGCGCGCTGGCTGTCAGAGGGTTTTTATGTCTGTTACTGCAGCAAAAGCAAGTGGAAACAGCTACATTATGTGCCCGGTGATGAAGAGCAGAGCAACTAAACCACTTCACTGCCAGTAAACATCCGTACTTCCTTACATCTGTCACTTCTGCATCCGCCACCGACCCCAGAGGAGTAAAGATAATTTGGAGCAGCGTTTGATATACGGGGCAGCCGGAGTCCCTAAAGAGACCTGAGCTCCTCTGAAAGCTACAAGTCTGTGGTGTCACAAAAACCTGATTAATAATCAAAAATTAAATTATAACATATCGACACCTACTGTCATGAAAACACAGAAAAGGTATCTCTGCACAACAAAAGTTGAATAAATCTCCCACACGCTGTCTGTCATATTGCTGGCCTTTTTAATATTTCATACAATATTTCCGTCAAAACCAGTTTAGCAGAAAGCAAGATGGTGTGCACCAATTTTTCACTTCTATTAAAAGTATTTCATTTCCTACAATGAACAACATGGCAAATAAAAATAACTTTTAAACATGTCTGTGGCTCTTTGAATTGGTCTTTCTTTTCTGTCTATAACATAAATTGTTGTATGCTTAGTAGCGGGGATTTTTGTGTATTTTCTGCATTCACTCCAAATCAGGTGTCGCAGCAAAAATGCCAGTCCTCTCAAGTATTTTAATGTAAGATCTAAGGCCTGGATTCAAGGCTGTGGCTGTGAGGCCGCTGGTGATGCTTAAAAAAAGTAGCATCCAGGGCTGAAAAGTTGAAACAGAATCCATTTTTGGAGAACTACAACCCCACATTACACAGCAGTGGACAATCATATAACCGGCAAACCAGAGGATGCCTACAGTCCACTGGAACAGGTAAGACACTATCTTTCTATTGTTAAATATTAAAGTGATTAAAAGAAATAAAGTATGTATTCACAGATTGCGTGTACTATGCTTCTAATGTCATGACTTACTTTGTTTATGTGTGGATTTGGAATCCATAGCTAGATTTGCTAGAGAGACTACAGGCTGGCCACCCCTACTGACATTCAAACTAACTGTTATTCATTTCCAGATAATTTTGTGTCAGGAAGCTAATGGAGAGGGTTTGCATGTGGCTCCAGAGCCACAGGTTGCCTTCCCCTGTTTTAGGGCAACACAAAAAAAACTTACCAAAGAAAAATACGTAGTCGCTGAGAATGGGGAGGTTAGCTTTCTATAGTTGGTCTCCACCCTCCACTCCCATACAAATGGGCTATTTAAGTGACACTCCCACACTGCTGCACAACCCTATGGCTAATCCCAGCAACGCCTGATTTGTGTGAACCCAGTCTACGCACCGTGTGTGGATCTGGTGTGAGATTAGATGGACGTATCTACTGTAAACTCATCTGTAATCTTGTGTTGTGGCTGTGGTGAAGTGGCCACGACAAGACAGTAGTTGAACCTCTGAAAATGTGTGTTCACGGATCAGAGTGGCTACAAGTTTTGGCAACATTAAGTTTTGTATATTAACTGTCATACAAACTGCAGCTATGACATTCCAGCTATGACAGACGGTTTCCCACCGACCCGAGTCAGGTGTTAGCAGAGAGTACAAACTAGTTAATAAGTGAGCAGAAAAGTCCAAATGGACAACTGAAAGTAATGGAGAGAGGATTAAATGTTAAAGCTTTTGCCCCTCTGAGTGGCAGAAGTATGAATGCAAAATTTACCAAATCAGCTGAAAAAAGACAAAGCCTAAACACAACAACAGGACACAACTCCAGGATGAATATGTCTCGTATGGAGTAAAACACAGCTGTTGTTTCAGTGCATTTATGGTTTTCTCTACAGCAAAATACTACAGAGCAAAGAAGAAGAAATTTGATAAGAGGGTACTTAAGTCCATCTGATAACAGGGCTGTGGGAGTACTTCGATGTAAAGGGCTGATATATGAAGTTCACCAAGAAACCCAGCTCTCATCTGTGTCTAATACTGAACATCAGTGGGATGTGACTGACCTTTATACTCTGGAGTGAACTCCTTCATCTCTGGAGGCAGAGACTCGTAGAAGCGCTGCTCTCTGCTGATCAGAGGCTTACACACCGTGTGGTCATCATAACGCATCATACTGGTGTGACCCCCCACCTGCACGCACACATACACACACACACACACACACACACACAAAAACAGAAGAGGTAACATAAGAAATGAAATATCCATTAAGTCTTTTATCGTATTAAGTGTTTTTTGACCTTCATTTTAGCCGTTCCTACCCACCTGGTGTACGAAGGGCTCCAGTGGAACGCCTCCTGCCCGTGGTCGAAGTGCAGCCCCTCCCCCCTGCCCCGCCCCCTGTAACTTGTTGTCCATGTTGTTAGTGTGAGGGAGGCACATGGCTCCTGGCGGACGCACTGCGCCTCCTCCTGCCGAGGACAGAAGGATTTATGAAATTAGGTGTCAGAGAAAACAAATCTGGTCTTGTTTTACAGTAAAGCTGCCTGTAAACTCTGTGAGAAGAGAACTGCTCATCAGATGGCTGAATAGCTTTGGAAAGGCCCTCCGCCTACACCTCTGACTCCAACACGTTGTTCGAATCACCCGGCTGTGAGGTGTACAGTTCGCTCACGCAGCTGCTCTCACTAGGGCTGGGTATCACTGAAAATGTTTTGATGCTCTACCTGAGTTACTGAAATGATATCACGAGTCACTATACCTTTAGGATAATACAGTTTATCAGCCAATAATTAAACTGAATCAATATTCTATTTAACAAGCAAACAAAACATAATCAGCTACACAGTCTAAAACTGGCAAATGTATTATTCATATCAGGAACTATATGTTCATAAAATAAGAAAACAGTATCACAAATCTGACGAGACATTTGATGTCAGCTTTTGGTACTTAGTGAACCAGGTAAAGTCTCAGGGCCACAGATGCATTTCAGTTATTGTTAAGAAAGGTTAATGTAAAGAGCAGCAGGTGCTCACCGCAGTTTGAGCCGAGATAAAACCTCCAACACACAAAGACAACATCATCTTCCACCTTAGGGCCCTGATCACACAGAAAGCGTATCCCAGGTAGCAAAACACGAGATGTGCCGCACTGCCTTTCAAACAAAAAAAATTGAAGGCAGAGGGTACTTGCTGTAGCTCTGGTTGAGGGTGAGAGGCTGTCAGTAAATAGTTTGTTGAGCACAGATAAACAGATCTGTGTGGGTACATGAGACCCTAAAAAAGAGGGTGGATCACGGGGAGTACCACCAGTTGGTCCAGGAGCTTCGCCTCCATGATGGCTGTTTCCTGGTATATTTTAGGATGACTGCTGTCTATCGTCGGCTCGTATAGCTCTGGGTATCCAGCAACCGCTACCACCAGTTTCTCCTCCATTGTCTACCAAATATAAACTTGTTGTCATGATGACCACAGAGGACATGCCGCCTCTAAAATCATCCAATTGGACAATAGGAAAAAAGATGACCAAAAAACTGATGACATGGGGCATTTTTCCATTTTAAGTTGATGTTTTTTCAACTTGTGGAGTTCAGAACGCTCCGGCGAAAATGCCAGATGCTTAGAGCGCAGAAACATGAGGCGAGCAAATAACTTGGTTCTCATTAAAAACAATAACAAAAAGGCGCCTCCAGCTGCTGATACACTTTCTGATCTGATCAGGACTAATACTCCTGTTCTCTGTTGCTTCTTTAATCTGCAGAAAACTTTGTTTTACCAGACAGAAGAGACATTACAGGTCTCTTTAATGTTGCTGTATGCTGATATCTAGAATAGTTATAAAAATATGTCTTTAGTTTTGACACTCAATCAAAGGAAATGATGTAAAACCTTTCATTCTAGTGTTTTGGTGACACCATGTTCACAACTCTTGGCTCCCTCGAAAGATAGAGAAAACCAAACAAGAGGTGTGAACGCTGAAAACTCCCTAATTAACAAACAAAAATAATTCTATGACCTCCGTCTGACTAGCTGAGATCTCCACAGTAACACATCAGGGCACTGCTTGTCGTGGTCTTACCTTGGGCATGGGCTCTGTTGTGCAGTGACGGGGAGGGAGGGGCGCAGGGCACCACGGGCTGCTGGGAGCGCACGCCGGCCCCGGGGGGAGGCGGCGCCAGACCGAAAAACCACCTCGCAAGGCCTTCAATCAGAGTGCTCCAATCCACCGCCGGCAGTACAGAGACCCAATCAGGACAGTGGGTGGGGGGGCAGAGTTGGGGGGAGGGCAGGAGAAGCAGGGTGTCAGGTAGGCAGGGTCACCACTTCCTGCAGAGAGAGGAAATGACACCATGATAAGTTTAATGTGTATCTAGAGCTGTGTTAACTGTTTCTTTGGCCACTTACAGTGAAGTCAGTGTGCTATAAAACCAAAACTATGAGCTGAAAGAGGCTAAAACACAGATTTCTGTTTGTTTCTGTCACTATGAGACATCCTTTTCACATCACACCTAGTCATTAGATCCTAAGTAATATAAAAATACTGATGACTGCACTTATTTTGAAGTTATTTATCACAATAACTTTAAATGAGTTGAGTTTTTCTAAACAGCTGTGACTTAAACTGGAGGAGCTTGCTGGGAGTGACATAAAGCCTGGGAGGCCTGCCTGAGAAGCCAAATTTTTGGGTACAAAATCCCTGACAACCCAAGGACTGCTGGTAGGCAATAACCTCATATCATTAAGTTCATAAAATTTATCCAAATTTACAAACATATAGTATATTCCTACAGACATCCCTTTAATCTTACGTGACAGCAGATGCTGTATTCCCTGCAGACTCACTCATGCTGACACTTAACCGTCCACAGGGCGCACCTGATGCAAAAATATTTTCACCAGCAGCTGCCATTTTCTCACCATCTGTGCATATATCTTGCTCAAGACAATATCGTGTGTTGTTCATGGTCTCAATGAATGAAAGGAAAACATAAAAACTCTTCTCAGATGAAAAGAGAATAAGCTAAATTCATAAATCACATTTGATTAAATTGACAGTGGATAATGATTTTAGTGCTCTCTACAGTATAATGAACTCAAGATGTGACATTTGTATAATGTTTTGTACATAGATTGTATATAAAAATAAATATACAGTCTATGGTTTTGTAAGTAATGTTTTCAGATTTGGGATTTTATGTGTTTAATTTTCAGATACATTTTCAACATACATGAATATTACCATTATAATAGCATCAAATACTAGTTTAACATTACAATCTGTCAAAAACAAGTTTTATTGTCTTCCTTGAACTCACTGCACTGAAAACCTATCAGCGTCACTGCTTCACATAAATGAACTAAAATAAAGAGGACCAGTCTACAAATTTCCGACCACCGGATAACCAAAATGTTCCCACACTGCTGACTTCAGTATGCTCATGATGAGGTGAGATGATCAGTAAATCATCAAAGTCAATGCACAATATTGTTTTTTCCCCCAAGTTACTATGGATGTCATATTTCGAGGGATCCGCGTGAGCATGGTTTCCATGGGGACGTAGCTGGTTTAATCTAAAGTAGATTGGAAAAAACGATAGACGCAGACGGGGCCGTGATAAAAACTAACAAGGACATTTGACACAGGACTAAGAGTAAATGAAAAAATAGCTGACAAAATTAACAACAACAGTTCTGAACCAGACAGCACATAAAAATAACACACACACACAGACACACAGTTTTCTGGGCATGTTGCCACAAACAGTTGACATCACATATTTCAGCATGTCAGGTTACTGTCTCACACACACACACACACGCGCAACACACACAGAGCGTACGCAAATAAACACATTTTCTCTCTCTACGTCATCCCTAAACAAGGGAAAGTATTCAGCGATTAAAGTGTGGGAAAAATATAAAAATCCTACTGTATCAACTGGGATCTTCAACTTCCTGGAGCACACTCTACTCCCAAAACAAAGATACTGTCTATAGTTTCAGTGTAGCGCCACCCCAGATGTCCTCCCAGCTCTCTGCTGATCACTTGAAACTTGAATTTTGAAACATCATCCGTAATCCGAGAGGACATTTTGTAATGCAGGATTTACTCTCCAATAAGCTGTCGACACATACATCCATGAGTACAATGGGCAGCAGAATGATATCAAAGCCCATCTGTTGCTGAGTAACATGGAAAATAAAAACCACAATTATAAACGATTAGCATTTGAAACAATGACACTGGAGACGATAACAATGGAGTAAAACCTTTTTCTCCCAATTACCACATCAAACAGCTAAAAACACCACACAAATGTAACATAGCTTGTTTCTAAAACTGTTTGAATTAATGTTGGAGAACATGTAAATTTTAATTGCAGGTGAGTCATCAATGTACGCATGAGATGACGGTTCAGTGTAACATACTGCAATTAGACGCCTAAAAACAATCTGGTTTAATGCAGTTTAAAGGGGACCTATTGTGCTTATTTTGGGTTTTGGGAACATGTTCACATGCTTTAATGGTCAGAAAACACTTTATTTACATCACACTGTCTGTGCTGGAAATCCTGTATTTACCCTTTATCTCAGATGCTCTGTTTTAGCGCCCGTCTCTTAAACATGACCTCCCCAGTCTGCTCTGATTAATCAGAGTTTTGTGGTCATCTTTGCACCGTCATTGCAGAGAGAAAGCACTGATAAAAGCTTATAAACACAACCGGACATGTTCCAGCAGGAATATGACCTTAAATCTAGGGAGAAATTAACATTAGCAACCAAGATTACATGTTTCCCTGACATTAGTATGTAGCTACATGTAGCAGTGTGGGCTACGTTACGTGCCTGCAGCAGATGACCATATAAAGAAATCTGTCAGCTTGTCTCAACAGTAGATAAAAATGCTGGAAACAGAGTAGTCAGATGGGTCTAAAGCCTGAGGTCTTTGGTCACAGGGATTACTGTTACATGCTTTTACCTCATTATTTGTAACTTTGGCCACATATGTTGTAATCGCCTGACATTGTAACATTATATATATGACAGAAAATAAGGAATAATACAAAAGGTCACCATTAACGAAAAGATGTATCTGACAAAAGCAGAAACCAACTTCACAAATTCAGTTTCCACTGACAGACGTCCTGGTGTCCAAGTGGTCAAAGACCCACACCACACATACACTACAGTATATGACCAAAAGTATGTGGACACCTCAGTCCAACTATGTCTGTGACTGCATCTGTTGTTCCTGGTTCCCTTTAGTTCCTCTGAAGAGAAATCTTAATCCTGCTGTAACAATGATGTTTTAGACAATAACGGATTTTCACCTTTGTGGCAACAGTTCGGCGAAGGACATTACAATGCCCCCATGCACAAAGCATCACTAATGCTCTTGTGGCTGACTGGAGGTAAATCCCTGCAGCCAGGTTCAACATCTTGTTTAAATCCTCTGACCAGAAGAGTCGAGGCTGTTAGCAGCAGATTAATGCCCATGGTTTTAGAATCATGCTCAGCTATCACATATGGGTAAAATGTTCAGGTGTCCATATTTTTTGGAATATAATTTTCTTGATTTTTCCCTCCTGTCCCCTGCCTTCACTCAAATCCCCCTCTATCACCCCCTTTTCAATCCTTGTATCCCATCATGCACCTAAACGCTGCCTCAAAATGAGTCATCATCGCCTGTCTGAAGACATGAGAAGAAGGGAGGAGGAAGAGAGGTAGAAATGAGGGAGCAAAGAGAAAGAAGAGGATTGGATGAGAGAGGCAGGCCCATCAATGACGTCACAGCCTGCTCATGCATACGTATGTGTGGGTGTGTGTGCTTCTGAAGGCATCATTTGGTCAGTGTCAAGGCTGCAGTGAGGCACGACGCTCGCTGATGTTATCACGATGTGGGCTCATGACAGTGGAGTAACACCAAACACAACCTCCACACACGACAGTTCAGGTACAGCTTGACATTTTTAAATACAAAAACAGTTCTCTTACGCAAGACAGAAACTCAGGTCATATTTAAAATCAATGTAATGTGACATTTCACGTTATTAACAGAGTGTTATTTTGAATTCAGCTCAGCTGAGAAATATAAATTACGTCAAATTCAAATGCCATGTGGTCCTTCAAATTGTAATCCTTAATGGAACAAAATCAGACACACATATTTTTCCTCTTGTCTGTAGTGATATCTATCAATCAAGATTGCTTTGGTGTAAGTTGCCGAGTGTTGGACATATCCACTGTAGAGATGTCTGCATTCTCCCCAATATAATTGATCTAGATAACACCTAGCTTGTGGTGCTCCAAGCGCCAGAAGCAGCAACGTCTCTTTCCAGAAATCATGACCTGCTTACTCAAAAGTTAATCCACAGACCTCATGTAGGAACTTTTTACTTAGTCTTTCTACTGAACTACACCCATCAACTGCTTCACTTTGCAGAAGGAAGCCTGCATCTACCCATGGACGAGAGGCGAGAAGTAAACATTGATGGCATCCTCCTGGCTGAGCTGTAATGTTTGCTGGCTACGTGGTGCTAGGTGAGCTAGCAGTAGAGGTACGTATTTTTTGGCACCACAAGGCCGAGTGTCATCTGGAGAAGGCGGACATCTCTACGGCCGATATCTCAAACACTCTGCAGCTCCCACCAAAACAGACTGGATGATAAATAGCGCTACAGGTCAGAGGAAAATATGTATTTTTGATTTTGGGGTGAACTCCCTTCAAAACGTGAGTCCTGGTTGATGTGCTCACTGGTGGTAACCGCAGGTGTGTTTTAATTACATACATAAGAGGTAATTGCACCATGCAATTACTGTATATTGAATGGCTGCAATCCACAAGAAAGGGGACGAATTTCCCCACAAGGCTGAGGCCTGCTGCTTTGTGACAGGAGCAAAACAAGACCTTGTTTTTCAGCAATATGATGATATAAAAAAATGATGGTGATAAACAGTCACACGTCCAAATACTATTCAGAGACCAGTATCAATTTCAAGTGTTGAGCAACTATGCCAGTGAACCACTGGAAGGCTTTTAGTGGGACGTTATCACCAAGTGTTTTTCAATAGAACCTCGAATCTCTTTTTGATTTCAACATTTTTTGACATTTTTCTGTGCAACAAGTGAGCTGCTTCACTGAAAACCTTGAAAACCTCAGACCTACAACATGTCATCAAGGTAAGGCATGCCTTTAACTACACTGTGGGCCCACATCACAGGCAACGATCACGACGGCTCGCAGCACCGTGCACGCATTTGGCCACGATGGAAATTCAACATCTAACTGTCTGATCTCAAGTCACGATCCAAGCTTGACCAAGCA